AAAAAAAAAAAAAAAAAAAAAAAAAAAAAAAAGAGTTTCAGGTTTCTTCACTTCATGACTCCTCAGAGCCTTGAGTAAACTACAATATATTGTAATTTGCAGAAATTTTTATTATGGAACTCTGGAGGGTTTTGTAGGAATAGTGTTCCTTGAAATACACATGATGTGAGGTCACATATATTAGCGTTACCCTCGTTGGCCTATACAAGTTCTTCAATGACTGGCACTATAGTCATCAATCTTACCTTACAGCAGAAAATACATGCAACATCCTCACAAAAAGCAGGACGGTAAAGAGGTTAAATGCATAGCTGAATGACCTAGAACAATATTCTTCACCTCTCTGTGGGCCTTGGTTTCTTCATATGTGCCTGACACACAGTCAGCATAGTAATGTGTGTGAGCTAGTACTATTACTACCCTCAAATGTCTGAATGAAAACAACAGCTATATAAATGGTGCCAATGCTAAAACCAAGGATATATAAGCAAACCCACCAGCTAAACAAAGCTTTATGTATGTACTGGTTTAGGGCTTGGGAACCACATTACCTGAGTTCCATCCTAGCTCTGTCACTTACTGTGTATCCTTGGGCTCAGTTTCTTCATCTATAAAATGTGCTTAAAAACAGCACTTATTTATGGGGGCATACAAAGATTAAATGAGTTAATACATGCATAGTGGCTAGCAATGCCTGGCAATGACAAATACTCAAGAAATCCTAGCTGGTATTATTACAAAATTAGCCCACAAGAAGTTTTACCATAAAATTTCTGGAGGGAAAAAAATATGTATTGATATATACATATAGCTGAGTAAAATGGGAATAACAGAACTACAGATTAAGACATATGATAAAGGGTGTTAGCATTTTCCTCCAGCTTTAGCTATAATGAACTGAATATCCCTAAAACTATTAAATGGAATTTCTCCAGTTGAATATATATCAACTCTACATAAACGACTCAGAAAATAATCTAATATCACAGTTACTTAAATTTACTTACGTTTCATATCCATATTTCGGGTTTTATAAACAAAGTATGTATAAATCTGTGTTGTGCGTATTAGAATCTGGTCTCCACTATAGCGTATTGAGCGATACCACCAAGAGCCCTAAAACACAAAATTAAACCAGAAATAAAGCATAAAAACCATGATAAATGTTAATTTTGATGCAGAATGGTCAAATTTTCTAAATGTTCATAAACCAATAAAAAGACCTGCTCTTTAGAACAAATGCCTTTGTTACATATTTCAAATGATTTATTTGGTAAATATTTATGCTGCCTGAGGCCTAAACACCAACCTACCTCATTACATATATATGATTAAAACATTTAAGTTTCAGCTAGAAATTGTTTAAAGACAAAATAGGAATGAAACAACCCACTGCTATAAGCAAAAAGCTGGTTCCTCACACATAGCATGTCTTCAATAAATATTTGACAAATAAGCGAAGAGGCAATTTTATAGTTGATATACTACTTTCATTCACATTATTCCACACAAGTGGATTCTCACACAACAATCCTATGAAGAAGGCAAGACAGGTTAATTGTTAGCCTCACTATGGGACCCATAGGAACTGTAAGATCAGTAAGAATACCACCAGTCATAAGAGTAATAAACAATAAAATCATAAACTTTATGGTACCTCAATATTGAGGTACTATGCAACTGTTTTTAAAAATGAGGTCGTTCTACATGTTGTACCCCTATATGAAGCAAAAAAAGTCACAGAACAATACATATAGTAAGATCACATTTAAAAAAAAATGTGCACATGTATATATACATAATGCATAGAAAAATATCTGAAAAGGAAGCAAACTTAGCAGTGATTATCTCTGACAGAGAAATGGAGTTGGGGGAGGTGGTAACGGAAGATTTTCATTTTAAATTCTAAATACATCTGTACTATCTCATCTGTGTGTAATTTTTGCATCAGGAGGAGATTCACTTTAATATACTAAAGAGATGTCACCTTTAGAAGACCTTTAAAGTATAACTGAATATAAGATTCTTAAAATTCAAGGATTAATGGATTATATTCTAATACAAATTACAATCTTATAAGGAGACTCCAAAGCATGCACCGATTCCCTTCCCTAAAAAATGTTAATAAAAAGAGCTGGAACTTACCACAACAACTGGAAGGATAACCATGAATGCCAATCCATATACAAGTAAAACCTTGAATTGAAAAGGAAAGAAAAAGTTATGGCCTTCACCAGGTAAATGATGACAACATCCATGAACACTTATTTTGAGGCTTACATGGGGGAGGCACTATTAAAAGCACTCCTCATGCAGTACTTCATTTAATCCTTATTTTCAAACTCTAAGAGGAAGGTACCATTATTATTTTCCTTTTGCAGATAGGGAACCTTCAGCATATATAGTCATCCCTTGGTATCCATGGGAAACTGGTTTTAAGGCCCCAAGGATACCAAAATTCAGGGATGCTCAAGTCCTTTATATAAAATGCTGATAAAAGAGTAGGGCCTCTTTACCCACGGATGCAAAACATGCCGAAAGGGAGGGCCAACTTCAGCTGACCCTTGAACAATGTGGGGCTTGGCTCCCCGACCTCCTTGCAGTGGAAAATCCAACTCTAACTTCAGAGTTGGCCCCCCATTACCTGTGGCTCTGCATCCGCAGATTCAACCAACCATGGATTGTGCAGTACTGTAGTCCGTATTTATCAAAAAAATCCACGTATTAAGTGGACCCACACAGTTCAAGCCCCGGTTGTCCAAGGGTCAACTGTATTATATATCCACACTTTGGCAAGTAGTTAGTGCCTTCCAAATAAATGGTAGAAGCTGGTTTCTTTGCCTAAATATCAAACAGAACACATAATGTTCTGTTTGCAAGTAATTTCTATCTATTGGTCTTAGATTTCTGTCCTACTGCTTGATCCCAAATCTGGTAGCTAACTATCTTTTCTCTTCTCTAGTATTCCCTGAATAACCCCAAGCATAATAAACATGCTTATATACAGCAACTATATACCCTGGAAAATAACATGTAAATAAACAGCCATAAAATAACACTAAATAGCCATTTTCAAAACAAAACATGGATTTTTTTATTGCTTCAAAGATAGCTCCTAGATAAGTATTTTCAAGAAAGGAGAAGTAGGGAATTCCTGAACAATAGGTTAGGATAATTCCTGATGTTTTAGGAGTTGCAGCCTCTATATTACAGACTGAAGTCTGATATCCCACTGTCTCCTGAAGTGCCACATATAATATATATCATTATGTTAGCACACATTAAAATTAATTTAGCCTGGGTAAATGTGGAATAAAAGATAACTTAAATTTTGAGCGCTACGTAAGATAAATGTAGATACCATAAAAAAACAGTGGTTCCCTAAACCAAGAGTAGGACCCAATCTGAAACCACCTCCACAAGAAATCGCCACAACTGTAAGGAATTCCTTAAACAGTGCGGGGGGGGGGGGGGGACGGACCCTATACTAGAACACACTGCCCCAAACCAACAACCTAATAATAGGAACCGATTCTTTTCTCCATTATGCAAAAACAGTTTTCACAATACACAGTTAAATTGAAAACAGCACACCAGTATTTTCTTTGTAAAGCTCTCTATATATTACCAAGATATATCGAACACATTATAGTGTCTTATTTAAATGTACTCACCAAAATTGAATTTTTCTGGTCAACTATCCAAGCTGGCAGGGCAATTCCAAAGCTTGTGGCTAAAATAGGAAGAATATTTTTGAAGAGTCTCCATTTCCAGTTTTATTTCTTTATATCCCCAAATTCTGTCTCCCCCAGCCCCTCCAAAAAAGCTTTAAGATTATCTTATTATGTGTTTCCATTACACAAAAGTTGATGGACATGGTTTATATTTGAAACTTTAAATTTTTCCAGAAGAAAAAAAAATTCTAAGTATGTGAATTCCTTCTTCCCAGAACACTTAAATTATTTTATATGTCCTGAGTTTATGTAAACACTATGAATATATGAGAAAATGTTTAGTCAGTAAAGAAAAACAGATTTTATTCATCCAATTTTTATCAACTACTAACTGGAAATGAAGAATAATGACAGTGACTACTTTCCTCATCAAATCAAAGTTCTATCTTTCAAACCAATCTCTAGAAAGAAGAATAAAGTAAAAATTAAAGGGAACTCAATTTACATATTTGTTTAACTCCTTGTGGTTGTAATTTTCCTATTCACAAACTAAGAAAATCAAAACATTCTTTTCAATCTAGTTTAACATTTTTATAATATACACATATCATAACCCCAGTATTTTTTAATCATCATTTACCACACCTTGAGGCCCATCTGGATTTCCAAACTCTTCCCAATTTTTCCGGGACTCTTCATCAGTTAAACTAGCATAAAAGGAACAAAGGTGCAAAATTAGAAAGCCACATCTGAAAAATAAGTACTCATATACACAAACTCCATTAACTAACCAACTCACTTCCTAAAGATAATTTCAGAGAATCAAGAAAAGAACTCTCTGAAATCAGAAAAAAAGGGGGAGAGGAAAATAAGAAATTCAGCATTAACAGAAAATGCTAACTATTGAGCCCAGATACAAATTCCTAGTTGGCCCATGGGTTCTCAGGTTTAGCCAGTTCAAGCCAGAAGATGCAACTTTAAAGGCTACTACATTTTCTAAGGAGGCAGGGAGGATTATACGTTACTTTTAAAAATCTTATACACTCAGATATTTCCCAAAATTTCTTCAATGTTCATGTTTTTACTTTAATAATGATATATATCTATTTTTTAAATATAAACTTAATACATGATTAATAATAATCCCTCCAAAACTGGTACCACATTCTCAAAGAAAAAAATAATAACACCTATAAAATTCCACTGCTTTGGAAAAGGTCATTTGCATTGTGCTAAGATCACAATTTTCTCCTAAGCCAACTTCCAGCAAGACTAAGAAAATACCTGCTAAAGCAACAGCTTCTTAACCCAAGCAATATGAAAGTGACAGTGATTTTTTAAACACCTAACATGAATATAACCCCTGACCTGGGCAATGGCTCAAGGCACAGGGTAAGAGTAGTTTTATTCCAGGTCCCAGTATAGATGTTAAAAAAAAAAAAAAACATTAAAAGAAATTTTCAATTCCTTCAAAAACTTGACAATGCTGTTAAGGAGACAAGGCAGACACATACACACAAAATGACCAATAACATAATAAGGAAGGCATTCTTGCAGACCAATTGGCAAAAGATTATGTTTATGTCCAAATCTAATTTTAGCCATATTTCTATTTCCCAGAACATATGCACTTAAGATACAATGAATTTTCTATTCAACAAAGCTCCAATTGAGAGAGCGAATGCAGAAGAATCTTCATAAAATTGCAAAATTTTTCAATGATTTGAAAATATTTTTAAACTTACCAATTTGGTCATTTATGAAAACAAGAGCCTTGATGTCTTTAGTCCTTATTCAACTGTAACTCCACTTACACTGTTTGACCTAAGGCCGCAGTAAAATACAGGAGCCAATGAAAGGCATTATTAGAGAGACTGCAAGTTAATAAGGAGTGGTGCTAAGATTCCTTTCTGCTAAGGGAGGGATGTTTTTCAAAAACTTTTGCCTTTGTTTCCCTGTACAATTGTCCACCCCACCCAGAGCTTTAGCTATTGTTTCTTTCAATTTTCTGTCTCCTAATCAGTGTCTTTTCCCCAAAATAATTATCTCTGTCCCCTCCTGACTTTCTGATGATGGCAGCACCATAAACTGTTCTGTTCTCTATACAATGCCCTTACGTTTTGCAAAATAAAGCACAGCTCTCATCAGAGAAGCACTTGATTTTTCAACCTGCATACACACCTGATTAAAATTCCATTAACTCATTCATTAAACCATCTGTACAACTGTTGTGTAACCATCCTGTATACTCAAAGGAATTATCCATTTTTTAAAAAGTCAGTGTAAGAAAGCAACTGATTTTGGGCTACTTATTAGTGCTTCAGTATCCATTCCTAAGACTTAAGGTACTTAAAAGCTATGTGATTTCAGTATAATTTATATATAACAAGCTTAAACAACACCAATGGTGCTAACATAATTTTTTTTAATTCAATGAGTATAAAGCTTCCTAAACATGATTATACCCCTTGACTTTGGGGGTGGGAGGTTATATCATAGATCCTATTAGGAATCTAATGAAACCTATGCCCCTCCTGCCCTGGAAAAAAACGCACATTTACAAACACACATAAATTCTGTATACAGTTTCAGGGACCTCAGTTTATAAATCCTAATCCAGAGAATGTTTTCACTAAATTATATGCGAAGGGCCTGAGTTGGCTATGTAGAGCTAAGTTATATATTCATATGTAAGAACACATGAAAACATACTTTTTAAAAATCAAAATATCTTTAAGGATGTAAATCATGCTGCCCACTTGTTACAAAGTAGTTTAAACATAGATTTTACACCCAAAAGCAAAATCCCAACTATATCCAGAAGAATGAATCAGATATCAATAGTTGGTCTAACTCCTCAAAAATAGCCATACCTCCTTTCCTTTAAGTTACAATCTGGTCTGAAGAAATAGGAATGACCCAGCTTGTTTATTATAATGAGTGAATAAGGGAAGAGAAACCAGCCTGAATAACCAAGGCAAATTCTGAAAAACCTTGTAGATCATGCAGTTTTTTATAACTGCATTCTACACGTTCCTTGAATTACATAACTTAGGCTGGTAGAGTTATACATACATAAGATAGCAGCTTCAATCACTCAGAACCTATATTCAGTAAAATGCACCCTTTTAACTAATCTAATTATACTTGTACAAGTTACAATAACTCAAAGTTCTGGGTCCCATAATCATTTTACTTCTTCACTTGTCTGATAGACCATCAACTATTTAAGACATTTTACATACAAAACATTCTACATCTTGAACATGTAACTGAGTTAAAACCAAAGGCCATATATTATTCTTCTGTACTTCTTAGAATAGTGACCATACATCATAGAGTCAGATTTCCAGTAACCTGAGAACAAAATCATGAACTTGAAAGTGTTACAATACCTGAAAACTCAGGGGGGAAAAAAAAATAACTGTACCAAAAGCACTAAAATTAAAACTACTAATTATTTTTGGGGAAAAGAATCTGATTAGGAGACAGAAAGTTGAAAGAAACAATAGCTAAAGCTCTGGGTCGGGTGGACAATTGTACAGGGAAACCAAGGCTATCTGACTTCCTCTGGAAATCTTCAGTTCTTCTTAAATTACCTGAAGACAGCAACTAAGGCACTGCAATACTTGTGCAACAAGGGTAAATGCTTAAAGGAGACACTGAAAAAAGGGGAAAAGGAGACACCAACTGAAAGACAGCAATCTGGAGGACATCTGCTGCGTAGAAAAGAAAATGTAGTATACACTTCAGAAGCTCCTGAAAGTATTGCTTTATTACAGAATCATATTCACATAGATAACAAGCAATCCACAAAGGGGGGGCAGGCTAGGCAGAGAGGAGACACGGTCAATATACTTTTATTACGCACAAAAATGCGTAAGATGATATTTCCCAAACTTTTGTCATTCACATTCCACTTTCACAGCCTGCTATTATATCTGCATATCCTATTATTTACTTATATTTTTTAAGTTAGCTTACAAAATTATATACATCACCGAGTCCTCAAAAAACAGATAACATCTTGTCTGTATTTTACTCTTTAATTCAACATAAGAGCTGTGTGGGATATATCTATGATTCCTGAAGAGTCCAGCTAACTTTTTAACTCTTGTAATATTAATACTCAAGGAATTACTTCAAATTTTATATACCCTATCCTGTTTCCCCAAAATTAAACTCATCTTTAGTTTATAGTTTAAATGAGACAAGCTATAAGCCAAAATAAAAGAAATAGATCTAGCCTAACAAAAAGCCTAGAAATGAAAACAAGGTGCAAGTAGATCTCTTCTAATCAGGATGCTTTGAAAATAGCTCAATTAACACATCACTTATTACTTAATTTAACCAACTTACATGGCAAAAGCACTACTGTAAGTTATTTAAAATTAAGGTTTGGCTAAATTAACACTTCAGGGTTGCCAGGTAGTTCCATAAATGATAGACTCAACATATGAGGCGCTTAATAAAAGTGTATGACAACTATTTTATTACTACTTTATTCAAATAGAAAACTATCTTTACCACTCTTAAAAATGTGTAACGGGTCCTATAATACTTACGCTGCATAAGCTTTTGCTATCCTCATGAACATAACTTCATCACCTCCTTTATCTGGATGATACTTAAGTGACAGCAAACGATACTGTTTCTTAATTTCTGCTACTGTCGCCCCCTAAAAGAAAAGGCTTTGTTTTAGTAAAAATAAGCACAATGCTGTAAAAACATAATCCATCCCACTTTGAACTTAAAATATTGAACTACTCAATATTTTCAGAAACAGAAAATGAAGTTTTCATCCTATATATACCTTGTCCTATAAATTTCACCCACATATTTTTAAAATAAAAATATTCATTTTGTCCAAGATATTTTATTTTATTGAGCACCTAGTATGTGCCACGCAGTACCCTAGGCACCGACCATTTTAGACTGATACTATATAATGCCATTTAAAGAAAATAAAATGATAGTGACATTTAAATACCAAAGAATGATCACAGTAAATTAAGTCTGGCTGAAAAAAAACTCAAATCAAAGGTTAACTTCCTTTCTAAGAAAAAAATCTGAAGAATTTCTGGTTTCACCTGCTTGTCAATATTTTAATGTTAAGTAAATACTTAATAAGTTTACCTTAGTTGTTTCCTAATTAGATTCAATTTCTATGAATAAATTTTTCACATTGATTTTTTATGGCATTAAATTGCCCCCAAACGTTTTAATCTTAAAAAATCCCTCTTGATAACCATGATCATCACAATAAGAAAACTCAGATGATATGCAAACTTTTCTTCTACAAAGCAGAAAACTACAAGATTAACACACTCCTTACTGTGTATCATATGAGTCTCTGGATCAAGCCATCTACTGAGGAGAGACTAGAAGTAAAAAAAAAAGTAGTATGGCAGAAAAAATGGAAAGGGCACTAGATTCACCTTTGTTACTAAGAAGTTATGGGACCCCAGACAAACACAAATTTTCCAGGCCTCATTTTCTCCATGAGAAAAAAAGGGTAGATGATCGCTAGCATTCATTTCAGTTCTAACTTTCCACTGATTAACTTAAAAGACCAATTTTCTACTGCGACCCATCACTCAAGTTCAATCAAGAAAGTCAGCTAACAGGTACACTCAAGATTAACCTGAATTTCTATGACAAAGACACCAACACACTGCCTTAGTGTCAACTAACACAGGGTCCCATCCAACTAACATAAATAGACCTCCTGCTTCTAACTTTGCATTAAACCAACCTTAGAAATGTCTTTTAAAAATATACTAACTTCTCATCTCATCTTCAGATATTTTTACATTTTAGCAATTACAAACCAACTCTTAATAGGATGGCAATCAACATCTGTGGCTTAAAAAATATATGCTGGGGCTTCCCTGGTGGCGCAGTGGTTGAGAGTCCACCTGCTGATGCAGGGGACACGGGTTCGTGCCCCGGTCCGGGAGGATCCCACATGCCGCGGAGCGGCTGGGCCCGTGAGCCACGGCCACTGAGCCTGCGCGTCCGGAGCCTGTGCTCCGCAACGGGAGAGGTCACAACAATGAGAGGCCCGCGTACCACAAAGAAAAAACAACCAAAAAAAACATATATGCATTAGAATAATAATGGATTAGGTATCTTTTTTAACTGACCAGAGTCTGATTTCTTTAGGCACAGCTCAATTTCTTTTAGGCTGTGGGCCCAGAGTATTTTCAAGGGACTATATAAAATACTACTTACGGGATCCAAATTTAATACTTCATAAGGATTGTATTCTTGATATTCTCGGTCTGTTTTGGAAACTTTGTATGTAAGGAATAATAACAATGCCCATCCTGCAAGCAGAACTATTTTCCTGTTTAGAAAAAAGATAAGTGAAGTATAAATAAATACAACTATATGGTTTTCCTTTAAGATTCTAAAGACACTATGGCAAGGCATAAAACGATCTTAAGTAGTCTCATGTCACTGTGCTATTGACTCAAATTCTATAACCACTGAATTGTAAGACACAATAAGGACTGCATCTTTTTTCACCTTTGAATTCTCTAGAACCTAGCAGTGCCTGGCATATAATATTCTCTCAGTTACTATTTGCAGAATTTTAAGTAAGAAGTTAATGTACTCATAAACTTATTGGACCCATTCCATTAGATCAAAATATATTAATACTTAGTATTCAGTTAACCATTTAATGTAAAAAAGAATTGCTCTTGACCTTGTAATTACACTTAGTAAGATAATTATGAAAAATAATGGGTCAATTGTGCAAAGATGAATAAGTAGCCTTGTTTATAACAGTAAAAATTTGGAAACAACCTTCAATGTCCATTTATAAGGAACTAATTAAATAAACCATTTATAGGAGACTAATTAAATAAACCAAGATATAGCCACACAATAGAACATTTTTAGCTAACAGATATAGAAAGACGTGCATAACAGGGTAAAAAAAGATATAAAAGAACATATAGTTTGAAAAAAAACTAATTTCTTTTCTCCTCAATATGTTCTATTTAGTAAAAATATTTAAAAGATTGATATTATCAGTGTTGGAGAGGCTAAGGTAAAAAGGAACTCTCATACATTCTACACTCTAAAGGAATATCTGGCAATAAGGTTATCAAAAGCCCTAAAGAAGTATATACCTTTTTAACTATCATCTATTCCACTTCAAGAAATTTAGAAGGAAATAAACTAAAATTAAGTTTATAAAGTATAAAAGGGTGGTTACAGGTATAATTCATAGCTGAAAACATACACACATAAATGTCCATCAATACAGTACTGAAAAGATAAATAACAGTACATCCATAGAGAGATACTATCTAGACACTAAAAATATTTGCTGTGGAAGATTATCTACCTTGTACTGTTAAATTAGAAAAACAGCTTTCAAAGCTGTATGTATAATATAATCCTATTCTTTGTAAATAAAAGTTTATTATAAGTAAAAATATAGAAGGTAAATCATCTTTTTTTAAACATCTTTATTGGAGTATAATTGCTTTACAATGGTGTGTTAGTTTCTGCTTTATAACAAAGTGAATCAGTTATACATATACATATGTTCCCATACCTCTTCCCTCTTGCGTCTCCCTCCCTCCCACCCTCCCTACTCCACCCCTCTAGGTGGTCACAAAGCACCGAGCTGGAGCTGATCTCCCTGTGCTATGTGGCTGCTTCCCACTAGCTATCTATTTTACATTTGGTAGTGTATATATGTCCATGCCACTTTCTCGCTTTGTCACAGCTTACCCTTCCCCCTCCCCATATCCTCAAGTCCATTCTCTAGTAGGTCTGTGTCTTTATTCCTGTCTTACCCCTAGGTTCTTCGTGACATTTTTTTTTCTTAAATTCCATATATATGTGTTAGCATACGGTATTTGTCTTTCTCTTTCTGACTTACTTCACTCTGTATGACAGACTCTAGGTCCATCCACATCCACCTCATTACAAATAGCTCAATTTCGTTTCTTTTTATGGCTGAGTAATATTCCATTGTATATATGTGCCACATCTTCTTTATCCATTCATCCCACGATGGACACTTAGGTTGTTTCCGTCTCCGGGCTATTGTAAATAGAGCCGCAATGAACATTTTGGTACATGACTCTTTTTGAATTATGGTTTTCTCAGGGTGTATGCCCAGTAGTGGGATTGCTGGGTCATATGGTAGTTCTATTTGTAGTTTTTTAAGGAACCTCCATACTGTTCTCCATAGTGGCTGCACCAATTCACATTGCCACCAGCAGTGCAAGAGTGTTCCCTTTTCTCCACACCCTCTCCAGCATTTGTTTCTAGACTTTTTGACGATGGCCATTCTGACTGGTGTGAGATGATATCTCGTTGTAGTTTTGATTTGCATTTCTCTAATGATTAATGATGTTGAGCATTTTACATGTGTTTGTTGGCAGTCTGTATATCTTCTTTGGAGAAATGTCTATTTAGGTCTTCTGCCCATTTTTGGATTGGGTTGTTTTTTTGTTATTGAGCTGCATGAGCTGCTTATAAATTTTGGAGATTAATCCTTTGTCAGTTGCTTCATTTGCAAATATTTTCTCCCATTCTGAGGGTTGTCTTTTGGTCTTGTTTATGGTTTCCTTTGCTGTGCAAAAGCTTTGCAGTTTCATTAGGTCCCATTTGTTTATTTTTGTTTTTATTTCCATTTCTCTAGGAGGTGGGTCAAAAAGGATCTTGCTGTGATTTATGTCATAGAGTGTTCTGCCTATGTTTTCCTCTAACAGTTTGATAGTTTCTGGCCTTACATTTAGGTCTTTAATCCATTTTGACCTTATTTTTGTGTATGGTGTTAGGGAGTTATCTAATAAGGTAAATCATCTTAATGGTGGTTACCTTTAATGATGAGATTGAATAATTTTTTTATACCTTTTGTATCACAATTTGTTACATTAGGTAGGAACTGTTAAACAAAGACATAAATGAATCATAGGAGACCTAATCAAACAAAACTGAAGTGACCTATTTTCAAATACAGAAAGAAAACATTCCGTGTGTTTAAGCTCTCTTGATAGGAACCTAGCTTAAATGTGTTTATTTGGAGTTTCCAGGATCCATTTCCAACCTACCTCCTTACTTTTATCACCCTAGTATTTCAAACAAAATAAATCCCCATATCCCACAGTCCCCTAAGCTTTTCCCACCATTATGCTTTTGCTCTCTTGGGTCTTTCAACCTAGAATTCCCATTCCCCATTGCTGCGTATCCAAACTATATTCATCCTTCAAGACTCAACTCAAATTATGTATCCTCCAAGAAGCAATCCTTAACCCTTGTTAAGATGATCAATGGGGAGATCATGGTTACAGTCACAAAGAAGCACAAACCATGACCTTCCTCCTCTGGCTAGTTGCAAACTCCTTGAGCACATGGACAGGATCCTATTCAGTTCTGACTAACTTCAGAGTAACAAACAGAGATGGCACTCAGATGCAAATTTCTTTCTATCTGACCAAATTAATGCTCTAAACCTTATTAAGGGCATAATACTACAAGCTGCTTTCCATACTATCTGTATGCCCAAAGACGAAGAGGGAGGCCTACCTGGAATACTCCCACTTTTACCTGGCTATCTAGGGAGAGGTAGTTAAGAACATAGGCTCTGGAGCAAAAACTACCTGAAGTCAAATCCCAACTTTATCACTTATTAACTTAGAGATCTTGGCAAGCTGCTTAGCCTTTTACAATTCAACTTCCAACTTTTAGGGTGGGTCTGAGAATTAAATAAGATTAGGTATGTAAAGCCCCTAAAAGGTGCCTCACAGATAGTAAACAACCAATTCCTGGTAGCTATTTGCTGTTATTAGTAACTCTAACCCAAGTCTCAGCTTTCAACTAGGACCTCACTTACAAGGAAATCTTCTCTATCTCATGCCAGTTAAGAGCCCTCCCTCTGTTCTTTCATGGCACACCCTCCCCGCCCCTTACAACCCTTATTAAATTCTATTATCATCACTTGTTTACTTGTTAGTTATTTGTTACTCAGGTATATCAGCGCCTAGTATAATACCTGACACATACATAGCACACAATAACTACTTATTTTATGAATAATGAAAATAATTTAAAACAGTAACTTTTGACTCAAACCCAAAGTTTGCTAATACCCTCAATATGCTAAAGAACACTTGAAAATATATTTTATTTCCACACAAACTTAGTAACTCCACATTTTGTTTTGTGAACTTCCCCAAAAGGCTACAAAGCTCAAAAAACAATGATAAAAGTAAAATTGAAAACCACTAAAGTAAAATTTTAAAGCAAACAAGGGTAGAAGAGAAAGGGAACAAAACACCTAAAACACACTACACCCTGTGTTAGATGCTCTTCATGTAGCATCTAGCTCTCTGAGCCAAAGAATAAAGGGAAGAGAGAAGAGGTTAATGACAGAATCCCCAGGCTGATGAAAACTACCACAACCAATAAAACCACGCTCTAATTTCCTGAGAGCCATACCAAAGGTAGAAACATAACAGATTACATCATACTGTGCCCAATTTTTTAAAAACATGTTTGGTTTCTCTTAAAAGACAAACATTTTCCCTACATACGGCTTCAGTAATTAAGTTGAGGTCTTGTGTTTTTTCTTTTAAGCAACTTCCAGAAATTAGAGTATTATACAATGACTACTTAATTTTGAAAGAATGCTTCAAGGTTAAGTAGCAAAAAGGTTTTGATGGTTCCTGACCTTATCTAAAATTTTACCAGTATTATTTAATTCTTCCTTATTTAAACATGCATTAATCTGTACTTCTATTTAAGTAAATCTCTTTACTAATTATTAAAGAGAACATCACAAGGTTGGGTTTTTTTCTTGAAAACTGAGGTTCAGATACCCACAATGTGTTGACCAAGGCCCAAAACAGAAGAGACTGGAAAGCCAAAAATATCTGCCTGCTGCCTCATAAAAGTTTAATTTAAAACGAGAAGCAAGGACTTCCCTGGTGGCGCAGTGGTTAAGAATCCACCTGCCAATGCACAGCACATGGGTTCGAGCCCTGGTCCGGGAAGATCCACATGCCACGGAGCAACTAAGCCCATGCGCCACAACCACTGAGCCTGTGCTCTAGAGCCCGCGACCCACAACTACTGTGCCCACGGGCCACAACTACTAAAGCCCGCGTGCCTAGAGCCCATGCTCCGCAACAAGAGAAGCCACTGAATGAGAAGCCCACGCACCGCAACGACAAGTAGCCCACACACCACAACGACAAGTAGCCCCTGCTTGCCGCAACTAGAGAAAAGCCCGCGTGAGCAATGATGACCTAATGCAGCCAAAATAAATAAATTAAAAAAACAAAACAAAAAATGAGAATAGCAAGGAATACATAGTGAACATGAAACTACTCTTGTAAACACTAATTTTGCCTTTTAGTTTCACACCATTGAAGAACTCTTAACACCAAAGCTAAGATTTCCCTCCCTCTACAAAAGAACTAATCCAGGCACATATGTTGAAAACTATCATCATCATTTAAACCAATTTTTTTTTTTTTTTTTTTTTTTGCGGTACACGGGCCTCTCACTGTTGTGGCCTCTTCCCGTTGCGGAGCACAGGCTCCAGACGCGCAGGCTCAGCGGCCATGGCTCACGGGCCCAGCCACTCCACGGTATGTGGGATCTTCCCGGACCGGGGCACGAACCCGTGTCCCCTGCATTGGCAGGCGGACTCTCAACCACTGCGCCACCAAGGAAGCCCTAAACCAATTTTTAAAAATAACTGGATCCACTTTTACTAATATCCTCTGCTAGGTCTTGCCCTCCTATCTACTGGATAGATATATGTAGGTAATTCACAGGATATAGTCCTCCAATAATGGCAGCTCTTTCACTTCCTCTCAGTTTCATCTGTTACCTGTAAATTGATGACTTAGGGTGAAGGTCCAAAGCCCAGGCTAACCAGCATACCCGACAGCCTCAAAAAATCAAAGACACCTACTCAAACATGCTAATGGCCTGTTTAAGCAGATGGCCCTGCAAAAATAAAGGGTAACTAGGTTCCTACTCCACCACCTCTTGCTGCAGGAACTTGGTCATGTTACCTCATCTTCTTAGTCTCAGTTTCCTCATCTGAGAAAAAGCAAAAATATCTACCTTAAAGTTAACATAAAACTAATGAGATAAAATATAAAATCCTAGCACAGCCCCTGGCACACAGTATGTGCTCAAAAACTTCAATCACCATGAAATGCAAACTTGACCCTGTCACCTCCATGCTTTTGATAACCTTTTAAAGATTCCTCCATAGTCTTTAAGACAAAATTCAAATCCTGACACAAGATATACAAGATCTTCCTTCAAGATTTGACTTCTCTTTCTCCCCTCCTCCCCCAAGTCAGAAGTACACTCTCTCTCTTTTGAACTTCTAAACCATTCTCTGTTCAGACTGTTCTCAAATTTACTAATCACATCTTACCCCTACTAAGGTTACAATTTCTTTACAAACACATGTTTTTATTCATCATTATACCCCTATTTTATATGATACCTAGCAAAGAGTAAGCACTAAGTATGTTTTTTACTGAAATCAATTACTTACTTTACTGTAGGAATAATATTTGGCTGAGGTTTTAATAACCGTAAACGATACCACATACATCTTCCATATACTTTTCTGATATTCTTTAATCGATTTTGCTCTGTCAAAAGAAAGAAAAATAAGGTGATAAGTTCAACGATTTCCACAGTGAAGGCAAAACCAGAGTTAAAACCATACTAACCTTCATTATCATGCTAATATTATATTGGAACAAAGTACTCTCTACTTAAACTTTTAAGAAAAATTCACAAGATAGGCTAAATTTTCTACCACTTAGAACAAATGATCTATCTGGAAAATTTTATTCAACTACCAGGCAATCATTTTTCATGTGAGACTTAACTTCTAACTGAAAAAATTAAAAACTGACTTGAACCCGAAATATTTAGTTATATAATCAGTAATTTCTGAGAATTTCTCTCCTCCTTTCCCTTCTGCTATAAAAGTAACAAAAAGTGCAAAATAGTTGGAATGTGCACTTTATTAAGGAAGCCAAGCAGAAATGATAGTCTTCAAATATGAAAATAATTATGTTAAATGAGAAAAGTCACCCAAACCCTTAAGAAGTTAAAATAGGTTTATATAAGAGTTATAACAAAAGGTATTATTTTAGTCCCCAGGGAAAAGTCTGCAATTCAATTAAAAAGGAATTAAACCAAAGCCAACATATCATATACTGTTTTACTAAGCTCACTACAATCACTTGGTTTGAATAACTCTCCCAAGTTTAAAAAAAAAATTAGGTAAGTTTTAAAATAAAAATCTACCTTTTCATGAAGATGGCATATAGAAAGCAAAGAAAGAAGCCCATGCCACTCCAAAGCCAAAGACAAAAACAAAAGCTTGGAAGGCCAAGAAGGCAGTGCTAAAAAGCATCCATATCCACACACACACAAAAAGAAGATTGCATGTTACCCATTTTCTGGGTGGCTCAAGACACCCCGAAGGCAGCCCGTTTATCCTTGGAAGAGCGACAAGCTTAACCACTATGTCATCATTAAGTTCCCCTTGAGCAGGGAGTTGGTCATGAAGAAGACAGAAGACAGCAATACACCTGGGTTCATTATGAATGTCAAAGCCAACAAGCACCAGATCAAACTGTCTATGAAGAAGCTCTACAACATTGACATGGCCAAGGTCAACACCCTGATCAGGGCTGATGGAGAGAAGAAGGTATGTTCGACTGGCTACTGACTATGATGCTTTGGATGTTGCCAACAAAACTGAGATCATCTCAACTGAGTCCAGCTGCTTAATACTAAATAAAAATTTTTTCACAATATTAAAAAACTACAAAACCAAAGTCCTTAAATGAGATCTCAGGTAAGTAAAAGAACTTTGCATATAATAGAACGTTCCAAAGCTGCCATATAAGAAGCCCACCAACCCTGTTATCACCATGCTTCCAGGAAAGAATCCACATGAGAGAGCTATGTGGCAGGAGGTATCAGAAACAGGTGTGGTGAAGAAGGATCCATGTAGGGGGAGGGGTGGTGGCAGAAAAGGAGACTGGTAATATGCAGGGAGAATTATCAAGTAAGTTAATATATTAAGGATAACTGCAGTCAGTTTTTCACTGTCAGAGAAGGGAGTTACATATGTGAAAAATTAGAAAACATGAAGTAACTCTGTGGTATTAGAGTGGAACTGAAGATATGAGTAAGAACTAGTTAATATCTTTTAATATAGAAATATAGATGTAGATCTATACACATACATACACATTCTCTAACTCTATTAAGTGAGCCTAGGAACAATGACATCTCAATAGCAGTGAGCACACCTAGCACCCAGATCTTGATTTCTAAATAGCATTCTCTGCTAATGGGAACCAGAGATCCAAGTATCTTCCCACCAAATATTACAAAAGGGAAAGAATGATTTTACAGTGGGGAAGTGTGATAGGCTGAATAATTGCCCCCTGTCAAGATGTCCACCACATCCTAAAACCCAGAACCAGTGAATATATTATCTTACATGGCAAAAGGGACTTCACAGATGTGACTAAATTAAAGATTTGAGATGGGAAGATTATCCTATATTATCTGGGTGATCCCAATATAATCACAGGGGTCCTTATAAGGAAGCAGGAGGGTCAAAGAGAAGATGATGTAACAATGCAAGCAGAGGTTGGAGTGATGTTCTTTGAAGATGGAAGGAGAGGTCACAAACCAAAGAATACAGGCTGTCTCCAGAAGCTGGAAAAGGCAAGGATTCTATTCTAAACCCTGCAGAAAGAACCTGCCCTGCCAACACAATCACTAGCCCAGTAAAACCACCCTTGGAAGTCTGGCCTCCAAAACTATGAATTTGTGTAATATTAAGCCACTAAGGTTGTGGTTTGTTACAGCAATGATAGGAAACTAATACAAAAAATCTGGTGGACAACATTTTCAGGTGATCGGTGAACATCACCAGCAATGAGACAAAATGCAATCATATACCATCTAATAGAATGCAATGAGAAGAACACAGAATCAGTTTTGTGAAATTCTTCTCTAAGATACATAATCTGAATCTAATAATGAGAAAATACCAGACAACCAAAATTCAGGTCCATTCTACAAAATAATTGGCCTATGATCTTTAAAGTCAAGGAAAAACTAAAGAACTGTTCCAGACTGAAGGAGACTAAAGAAACATGTCAACTAAATGTGATGATGTGTGATTCTGAAATGGATCATATGCCATAAAGGACATCATTGAGACAAGTGACAAAACTTGAATAGGTCTGAAAATGAAATGGTAGTAATGTAAATTTTCTGATTTTCACAGTTAAATTATGGACACTTTTGAAAACACCACGGGTGATTTTTTAATCTGGATTTCATTAAATTAAGTCTCCCATTTTAAGTATGAAACCAAGGAAACATGTTATAAGAACATGCTGAAGTCTCTATTAACCACATGGCTTGATCTATTCAAAGGAATAATATTCTCCCAACGTTTCTGTCCAAGAGAAAGTACACATGGTTTTCAGCCCCCAAAGTCTTGCACGACGTATACACGCACCTTGTATGCCTCACTCTTCCAATCCAAAATTTATATCTTAACCTTTTAGCAGAATATTTAAATAATCAGTAAGTACTATGGGGTATAGTTTACACAGTAACACAGTAATATCCAGCACCACTCAATATTCATAGTACACATTCCAAAATTCTATACTAATGACCTCAAGTCAAAGTAACTATCAAAAGTAAAGTCCTTTGGGCTTCCCTGGTGGCGCAGCGGTTGAGAGTCCGCCTGCCGATGCGGGGGACACGAGTTCGTGCCCCAGTCCAGGAAGATCCCACATGCCGCGGAGTGGCTGGGCCCGTGAGTCATGGCCGCTGAGCCTGCACTTCTGGAGCCTGTACTCCGCAACGGGAGAGGCCACAACAGTGAGAGGCCCGTGTACCACAAAAAAGAAAAAGTAAAGTCCCTCCACAAGGAGGGATGGATTGGGACTTTGGGAACAGCAGATACAAACTATTATATATAGAATAAACAACAAGGTCCTATTGTGTAGCACAGGGCACTATATTTAATATCCTGTAATAAACCATAATGGAAAAGAAAAAAAAAGTAAAGTACTTTGAGAGTTTTTTAAAGGCACTTAGAATAAAAAGAAATTCATTTATCAACTTCTAGTTTATAGAATTACTAGTTTCATGGCCAGCAAAAATTACCTAAGTAATGTCATTAACTTATAATATAGTTTTTAAAGAAATTATTCACATTTATAGAAAAGGGAAATTACAAGGTCATAAAACAATTCTGTGATTTAAAAAAAAATAACAACATATGATGATTGCTCTCAGCAATCATGAAGTTTGTATGTCCACGGGAGTAGTCCAGGCTTGGGGGCAGGTTATTATGGTTGTGCTTCACAAGCTATACAGTGCCTTTGCTAAAACAGTCATATCCACCTGTAATGCAGAATGATCTGTCAGTCTGTAATATAACTGAGTGAACCCCCCTTAGCACCATATTCCTAGAACCTAAAGAGCTGAAAGAATGCTAGCCAGATCCGGTCTTCAAACCTGTGTGCCTGCTTACTACAAAAGAATTTTTTAAAAATCATGTACCCTCGGGCTTCCCTGGTGGCACAGTGGTTGAGAGCCTGCCTGCCGATGCAGGGGACACGGGTTCGTGCCCCGGTCCAGGAAGATCCCACATGCCGCGGAGTGGTTAGGCCCGTGAGCCATTGCCGCTGAGCCTGCGCCGTCCGGAGCCTGTGCTCCGCAACGGGAGAGGCCACAACAGTGAGAGGCCCGCATACCGCAAAAAAAAAAAAAAAAAAAAAAAAATCATCTACCCTCTTGTAGAGTTCTAATTTGACATCTAAAATTTTCATCGTAAGTTTGAAGAGTTGCAAAAGATGTTGTTTCTGACATAAGTTGATATTTTAAAATAAAATAGTTTCATTGCTTTTAAATGTACCAATGAAATCTAAAAATCATAATGGCAATTTCATATCCACCATCATCCATTTACAGAAATTTATGAACAAGCTCTTCATTCTACTTCCCCCACATAATTTTATCCTAATGTAATATATTTTTACCCTGGTAAGTCATTTCTTATAATACTGACACATACTTCTTCAAGTTAATTTGTTTTATTCCCTGTGACTATTTTTCCCAAATTTTTATATTGAAAATTTTCAAGCCTTCAGAAAAGTTGAAAGAATATTACAATGAACAATACCCTTCACCTAAACCCACCAACTATTAACATTCTGCAACTCTTGGCTTTATCTCTAGTTCCTTCTTTCCCTCCCTCTCCCCTTTTTTTAGAATAAGTTGCAGACATCAAGACACTTCACTTCCAAATGCTTTGGCACGCATGACCAAAGAACATCAGTAATTTCACCACAGTGAAGTTTAACACATCCATAAGGTTTTTTATGTGCTAAAATTTCTGCTGCTACTTTTATCCGTATGTGTGTGTGTGTTATCAAGGCAACATAAATATTACAAATTGATAAACTATTAAAATAAGAGTAAAATATCCGTTACGCTTTCACTTATAAGCAACTTGTAAATATCCCATATGTTCAAAGAGTTGAAACTCTAAACACTGAAACTTAGTTTTAAAAATAAAAAGTACACTGTT